ATTAATATGATTTACAGCGGAAGATTATTTTACGAAAAGCGCAAAGTGTAAGGTAAATATTTAAGACTAACTCAATTGCTTCCGGTGTGAATATTTTTAAGTTAATTGTTTAAATTTAGCAAAAAATCACATTGCAACCCTACTGATGCACGCTATTTATTTAGCAGCGATTTTTGATTATTTGGTAGTTTTGCAATACGGCAACTCTAATTATTGGCCTTTAGTTGAAAAAGTAGAGCATTTTTAAGTTTATATAATTTACAAAGCAAAGTGTTATAAGCGTTCAACTTTTGTGTTTTCAACATTTTGTTTGTATTTTGAAAAAAAAATATCCCCAATTTTTTAATAATATTTACGATTTGAAATAATAATGCCCACTTTTCAAGAGAAACCCTTAAAATCTCACTTAAAATTATTTTTGCTGAAAAAAATACCATGGCAACCCCCACACATTTTTTTTTATTAAATTTTATATTTTCGAGCACTCTTGTCCTTTTAAATTACCACCTAACACGAATTACAAATTTATTAAAATTTCACAGCAACCCTATTATCCAACTTTTAAAATTTGCATCAATGAATCATTTGCTTCACAATGTTTAAAAATATGGCAAATTATTACAAGTAGTTACGTATGTCGAATAATATTATTATTTTAATTTTAATTTTAATTTTACGACATGGCAACCCTACGTAGTCCTTTTTATATTTTAAATAAAAAATATATGAAATTAAAAATTGTATAAAAAATAACATGTACCTACATATTTATCAGCTTCGCCACGAAAATTTGTGTTTAATACTTAATTATTTTTGTAAGCAAAAACTCTGTGGCAACTCGGCACAAAATTATACCACAATGGTTTCATTCCAAGAAATTCTAGTGAATAAATTCTCAAAAAGAATCGTTTTCTTTAATTATTAATTCATTTTAATAGTTCGAAAAATTTGGTGGCAACACTAGCACCGAAAAGTGTTGAAAATTTGTAGCTTGAAACTAATAATTTTTATAGTTTTTCAAGACATTTTTTAAGAAATTTTTTTGCCATTATTTATGTTGTACTTTTAAAATACACTTCTTACAAAATATTTGTTATACAAAATAATTGAAGTGTGCAAGGGGCTCAGTTGCGAAAGCTTCTACTCACAACAAAATATACTTCCTTTTTGGTTGTTGTTGTTTCCGATGGCACAACGCCGAAACCGGTTTGTCTCCAAACCAAATTTGACAAGGGATGACGGAAATTCGTTCCATAATAAAACAAAATATACCTTTTTTGAGTGTTTTGCATCCGCCTAATTTAATCAAATTCTATGAAGTATTACTGTGTACAATGTACATCTCCTTATTCGAATGAAACTTTTCCGTATTTATGCAAATTTCCCTCCTTATAATCCCCACACTACCTCAGCTACCGTTTCCCTTTAGCGCATAATTTACGTGTCATTAAAAAAGCATATTCCGCCTGCGTGTAAACCCAATTTATCTCCTTTGCAAATAAATGACTATTTTAAATTATGCAAACGCACAAACTCCGTCATTACGTATACGCCATGGCAATCCATTGACAAACATGGCACACACACACATATTTCCATACATTGCATATGAAGCAGCCTACCGACATTCGCGCGTTAGACACCAAACAATTGACAGTCAATATTAAAATTTTTGTGTGCGTCACTCGCTGCAATTAAACGATAATTAAATTGAAGTGCTTTGTTTTTATTTAGTTACATATTTTGTTGAGTTGCATAGATCCGGTGCATAAATCAGTAGCGGCAAAAGGGTTTGAGTAAGCGTGACTTCTTTTTTTCGTGTGTGTACTGTGTAAAATTGAAACCACAAATTGAATTTTTACTTTGCTGTGCCTAAAAGCATATAATTATGTCTTCATCAATCACGTTAATCAATCAAAGCCAAATGTACATATCTTTTAGCATTTAATCAGAGTGACAATTATTCGAAACACGTGCAAGTCAATAAGAGCAAATGACTAATCGTTTGCCTTTGGTTTTCCTTCTAAGCGAAGCTATAGCTGTGCGCTACAAGCCGCTTGACACGAATATTCCATTTAAATGATTTGAAGGTTGGCATTGAGCTCAAATTTATTATCCATATCGGAAAAGGCACGAACTTTTGATATACATACTTAATTTTTAGAAGAATTAATCTTTTTGTTACTCAAGTACCAAATGGCAATTGCTAAATTTAGAACAAAAATAATACAAATACCAAGAATTAAACAAAAAAAAACGACTTTAATGCCCATATAAAAATTTAGGAGTACCGTTAGTTTCTTCATGATTCAATGATCGGAACTAAACCAAATTAATAAAAAGGAGTTATCGAAAATGGTTCACGTGATCCAAAATTTATCCGGCAACATATGTATATAAACAAAAAAAATATATATGTTACGACGAATTGATAACCTCCCTTTTTCTAGACGGTTAAAAATCTGGAGTTGCCATATAATTTAATTACAATTAGGGAGGATAAAGCGAAGTCTGGATTGAACGCTTTGAAAGCTATTTATGCTAAAAATATTTTCCGAAAATATTTTTTGGTAAAAAACTATATACTTAGTTATTTGAAAAAAAGTTTAATAGTTATTTCAAAAACAAATTTCTACATTTTCCTTAAAAATAAGAACCAAACACTGTTTCAGCTAATATTTTTTATCAAGGTTGCCATATTATTTTTTTTAACAAAAATTTCCAGCAATTGTATGTAAAAAGAAGCGCAAATTTAAGTATTTTGTATCGTTTTATTGGGCCGGCTTACAGCTGGTTTTCACTAAATATTTAAAATTAAATGGCATTTGTCGTCAAATAGGCGAAAATACATTGTAAAATCGGACTAAAAAAAAGGGAGCATGGAATAATTGAGAGCAGAATAGGTCTTCAGTCGAGTAGACTTCTCACATTGGGTGCGTGAGGTTGCCGTTCATTCGAAAAAAGCTCATAAATTTTAAGCATGCTATATGTTTGCATTACGATTTGCAACAATTTTAGGTAATGCCAGCAGAACAAAAGCTTGATATATTATTGATGTTCATTCAAAAGAATTCCTAATGAGAATATAAATTTTATTGTTTATTATGCTACCTTCGGTCATGACTGCATACCAACACAGGCATTTTCACTGTATGAAAACTATCTAAAATAAAACCGGTTTATCTGGTTCTTTCTTAATTTCAAAATCTGGAATCAGTTTTTAAAAATTTAAATTTTTCGAATAACTCGAACACGGATTTTGAGAAAAAGGCGAATAATCGAAAACCCTAGAGAATAATTGAAGCTTCGATCCACTGGGCCCTGCTTTCTGTGTTTTCTTTTTTTTTTCTTTATCAAGGGCCTATAATTTTTTATATTCTTTATAAAAGGTTTTTATATAAGAGTTTTCTGATAGGAAACGTAAATGTTTAGAAATTCGTATTTTTTAATTATATGCATAGATATTAGAGGGCTGCATGAATTCATTCAAACTTCTAGCCAAACAGAGTACAATAGATTTGAATATTTTACTTCAGATACAAAACACTCAGCGTTTGGAATTTTGTAAGTTATGAATATACATTTTGTTTTATATTTTCTACCTTCAAATGGAAGAATGTGAATGAATGAATAGAAAACATTCAAATCATCCAAACTCATTTCGGTAAAAGTTTTTTTCTACAAACAAGTTTTTTTCGTATATAATGGGAGCGCAGCAATACATACATACATACATATGTATGTTTGTGCATATGTGCAAAGAAAAAATATTTTTGGATATTCATACAAAAAATTGTCATTTATTTCAATTCAATTTATTTTCACTTTGTTTGAATATTGTGATGTCGACACAAATATCAGAACAGCTATTCACTCAAATTCAAAAAAATTTGAAGCCAAAATCATTCATTCGTTTTGTATATGAATAATTCATAAGCCGTTTTGAATGCATTCATGCATCCCTCTAATAGATATGTTTTTTTTTTTGTGAGGCCAGTCAGATGGTCACAAAAAATCATTAAAATTTATTTACAAGAAGAGAAAGCTTTAGTAATTGGCACTGGTGGCTATTCTTGGAAACTCACTTAATTATGGCCTTCTACTCGGAAGTACTCATTTTAAAGATTAAGTAGGCAATAAACGATACTTAACGGCCTTAGCTTCCGCATGCTAACGTTGCTAAGCTGGGCGTGCTCTAAGGCAGGCCAATCTCCGCCCGTTCTCTCATTTCAGCTATATTTTTTTCCTTTATTTCTATTTTGAAATTTTCACCTTTTCTTTCCCCATTTTTTCTCTTTTTTTTGATTTTGTTTCCACCTCTCTTTTTTAATATAAGCCTGTATCACATATTATTAAATTTTTAAGTCGTTTTTACTTACAGCACTTGAAGGTTCTGCAGCTCTTCAAAGACTTTCGCTTCAAATGCTTCAATGCGATTGCCACGTAGGTCTCTGTAAGTAAATAGAGCACCAAAAAATTTTAGCTCATAAGTTGAGATCGCGATTTCTTTTAAGTTTAAAAGAATTATTAAGTACTAAATACACATATTTGTAAGCCAGTAAGTCCAATTATGTTTGTATGTACGGATGGATGTGCGTTCCTTTGTATGAGCGTAATGTACCTAAATAGTTGCTTCGGATATCAGTTCCTGAAAGCGATTGGAATTTTAAGCTCAGTTAATTCCTTATGAACAGCGATGTAGTTATACATATTTTTAAAGAAATTTCTATAATAACAGCCATTTACTTTTTTCTTTGATATTTCGTTCATAAAAGTTTTCATGATTATGTTTTAGAGTAATTTTTGTTTAACTTCAGTTACATTGGAATTTCAATGCAATTGCCGTGGTTACATTTAATAAAATTAACTTGACATTTACTTACAGTTCCGTTAAGCCATCCAAATGCTGAAAATCATATTTGTGAAGTTCTTTAATGCGGTTGCCAGAGAGTATTCTGAAAATCAAACAAAATGTTTGTACAAATACTTTGTTAAACCAAATACTTTTTTTTTTTTAATTTCCCACACATAAATTTATTTTTTATTGAAAAATAAGAGCAATTACTGTTTCAA